CCTCAGGGCGGAGGGGCGGAGCTGGCTGGCGGGGGGGAGGGGCGGCGCCTCGAGGGGCGGGGGGGTCGAGGGGCGGGGGGGGGGGAGCGTGCCGCAGGGGGGGTGTGCGCCTCAGGGCAGGGGCTCGGGGACATGGGGGGCGCAAGGTGGAAGTTTCGCCTAGGGCGCGAAACATCCTTCCACCGGCCCTGGTCCTATGACAGGATAAGGCCTAACCAACCGATCTGCAGAACATCCCTGTGAGGTAGGTATTATCCCTAGTTCCATGTGCAGATGGGGAACAGGTTACTGCTGCGCTTTTCAGAAGTGCAGAGTGCCTGCAGCTCCCACTGGCTTCAAGTGTTGTGGGTGCTCAGCACCTCTGAAAATCAGGCCATTTGGGACTTGTGAAGGATCAGAGCAGTAGTCAGTGGCAGCACTTGGATAGATTTGGGGAGTTTTGGGAATTCATTCTGTGCTCATTCCACTGTTCATGGCCAGTTTACACCCATCTGTTCTTGTGCCTACATTGTCCATTAGCTAAATAGCTCTTCTCCCTTCCTGGTGTTTACCGGCCATGAACAAATTCAGGTTGGAAATTAGAAGGTTTCTAACCATCAGAGGAGTGAGACGCTGGAACAGCCTCCCACTAGGAGTTGTGGGGGCAAACAACCAAACTAGTTTTAAGATGGAGCTTGATAAATTTATGAATGGGATTATATGATGGGGCTGCCTGCAATAGCTGGGATCTGGACTCAGTGACTCAGGAGATCCCTTGCAGTCCTACATTCCTATGTTCCACTGAACCACACACATGGTGTCTCCACCTCTGATCACCATTTGTTCCCTCAGAAACCTCTCTTGTAAGTGAAATAAATATTTACCTACTGTATATGACTCAGAAAAATATACTGACGTTCACTGACCCATTGAACAGAGCTCATAACAAAGAAATCACAATACAGTTCAGAAAACATGCACTTCATATGATTTACATTCAAACTACACAGAGCAAAAATAAATTAGAGGATAAGGGACGTATTTTCAAATGCAGGTACCTAAATAGCAGCCAGGAGAAAATGTATACACTTATTGTGAATGCAAAACCTGCATTTTACTCATGGTAGCGGTGTATGTATACAGATATGTAGGCATGCACTTGTCTGTATGCACAAACAATGCAAGTTTTCACACAAGTGCACATGCTTTTTTCCATGGTCAGCATCTAGACATCTGCATTGAATTTGGGCTTAAGTGTCTAGAAGAAACGGCTAGAGAATAATTTCATGCAGACTAAGAATTAGAGCTGGTTGGAAAACAATTCCACACATTTTAAAGAAACATTCCATTCCAACTCCAGGCGAAATGTTGCATTTTCAAAATTTCCCACAGAATAGAAATTCCAAACTTTTTTGACTCAGAAATATCAAAAATGTTCATTTCAATACTGTTAAATGTTTGTTTCAATAAGGTAAAATTATCATTTTATGTTAAAATATTATATTTAATATTTATATATTTTTGAATTAAATAATATATATGATATAAAATTAATATTATAGAATAAAAGTCAGTGCAAAATGAAATGGAACAATAAAGTCAAAACTAAACTTTTTGACATTATTGAAAGAAAATATTTCAATGTTTCCAAAATTAGAGGGTCAAAATGAATAATTTCATCAAAAATGTAATTGAAATCAACACGTTCTCATGAAAGGTTTCAATGAAGCCACATTTTCTGACAGAAAACTGCTCCAGTGAAAATGTGTTGACCAGCCCTACTAAGAGCCAAAGGTCACATTGCAGCCTTGATCATGCAACTCCTATTAATCAGTGGAAATCCTGTTCCTTAAATCAAGGATAATATGGGGCTTCTTAGTTCAATATTTAATTTGTACAAATGGTCAGGGAAATGGAATGAAGTTTTTGCTTTCCTAAATACAATTTAAAGTTTTCATCCAATTTTACTCCTTCCTCGGTGTCTCAGATGGAAAATCAAATTTCATCAGACCTTGTGCAACAAAAATTTAAAAAAGGGAGTTTCTACTTACCTAATTTTTTGTTTGTAGACAAATAAAGCAGTGACAGCCACCACCATCACAATGAGAAACAAACCAGCACTCACGCCTTCTATAACTCCAAACATGGGCTCTAAGATAGATACACACACACAAAGAGCAAAGGAATTAGATACATACAATGTTATCCGTTAAAGACACTGAAATAAATACAAAGGAATGTCAACTGCATATATATTTGGAAGACTGGGCTTTGATATTACTTCCTTAGTTTTTCAAGAACTTACACCGTACATCAGGTAGGCAAGAAACAGGTAGAAGAGAAAAAAGTTCTCTCCTTCCATAGAATTAGGGAGTGAAAGAAACAGCAAGATTTTCTAGGAGTTCAGGTCTCCTCCCCAGGCTACAGTAATTCACTGGATTTTTCAAACTGAGTCTAGGATAATTCACTGGGTCAGTCCCATTTGGAGACCATTTATACTGGATGACAAACCCATTTCATTCTCACATCCAGAAAGTAACTGTTGCCTGGATTCAAGGGTTTTTGAGGCTTAATCAGTGTTTGGAAAGTGTATTGAGAGCCTTGTATCAAGGGGCTGTGTTATTATTTATTGTTTGTATTGTAGCAGTGACTAAAGACCCTCAGTCAGGAACCCCAGCTCTATTGGGCAATGTGTTCCTTCCCAAACAATTTATAACCTACGGGCTTATTGCTCCACCATAGCCGAGATGGGGGAACATAGGGAGCTGGTTGTGGCTCCCGGATCCTGTGCTGCTTGGCTACGGCATAAGTTAAGAGTGGCTGAGGAGCAGGTCTAGCTCTGGCATAAAGTCCCTAGGTGACCTTACACCGTGAAGGATCAGCATAGTTCCACCACACCTCCCTCCCACCTCTGACATCTCCCCAACACCCTGGACACATGGGACAGCTGGTGCAGGAGGTGGTTAGATCATCTCTGCCAGTTTTACACCAGAAGAGAGCTCCCCTGCACCAAGGGAAACTTCCACTAGCCATTTCTGTCCACTTTGAGCGCTTGAGTGGCAGAAAGCAGACTGGAGAATCTAGCCCTACGTATTATTTCTATCCCAAAGGATGCTGCACAGTCCTCACTCTTTTGCTTGCTCGCTCGCTCCCTTTTAAAGCGAACACCTATAATCTGTAGGAAGCTTTATATTTCTGAAAGAAATCATGGATGGAAGGGGAAGCATCACAGCTATTGTTTTAACCGACAGTGCTGAATACCAAATATTAACTGGCGGAGAGCTGAATCTCAAAGTAACTCAGTTCAGCAACAAGGTCCTTTCTGCATTCTCCTACCCACTCCAACACCAATGGGTGTGATACCCATGTAACTGGTACAGTTAGTAGAGAATAAAGGAGAAACTCACCTGACTCAGTAGTGATTGGTAAAGAGAAAAATGTATCTGAGAAGAGTGGCTCCGTGAATTCCCTCAGGTCTTCACTAAAGAGCTGGGTGAAAGCTCGGATACTGATCCTGAAAAAGCAGAAGGGTTTATTAGATCTGTTTGGGAGTTGGTATCAAATAGGAGAAAACTAAAGGTTAACACAGAAATAGCAAAATCACAAAACAGGGCTTCCAGACAAAATTTACTAAGTACATTTCCTGTGTCTTTTAACTACTGTTATTGTTATACCTTTTGTTGTTCAGCTTCTGCTTTAGTGAGAGTTTCAAAGCCAATATTTTTAGCATCTCAACAGTTCATTCCATTTTTTAGTATCTTTTGCTCAACAATATGTGGGGAAAATGAAAGGACTAGATACTAGATGACACTTACAACATATTAAACTTGAGGAAATAAAATTCTGCCTAACTGTGATCAGCAGGAAGGCATATATATCGCAGCGTGTTCTTTGTATAGGGCTGCAGTAAGCCAAAAAAACTGTTGACTAGCTGATCTATGGATATGTTAACTGCCCTCAATACTATCATATGGGGACTTGGATTTGGATTACATTCTATGATCCTGATTCTGCACACACCTTTGCATGTGAATAGTCATACTCTGGACCTACTTCCATCTCTCCTAATATTAGTCCTGTAAATGGACTACTTATGTGCGTAAATGTTTTCAGGATTGGGGCTTTGTTACCTTAGGGTACTGGGGATCATGAAAGTAGTCCCATGAGATGGACAGACTAATCACAGTGAGCGGTGTGTCTTTGTTGGCTTTAGGTCTTTGCTATTTTCACAAGGTCCTGATTGCCAAAAATTTGTCACTGAAAATCAATCAACAAATCCGTTCACATGAACACATTGATTTGATTGGACACATGGTGTCCATTCTTTGACTGGATGAACATAGTTCTTAAGTAGGTTTCTGATACAGACATGCACAATGAACAAAATCAAAAATTGTGCAACATTCAATTGAAATTCACTGTTTAACTCCATGACTTTTCCTCTCAGCAAATTCATTTCTAAGAGCATTCACAGAAAGCAAAAGGAGCTCAAATGAAGTCCAAGCAAATTCATTAAAAAGCTGAAATGAGTGTCTGAATGGTTTGTTGATCTAGTCACTCAGCCCTCATTGTGGCTTTGGTAACCTGTGGTGGAGGTTCCTGCCGACCAGCTGATAGAATTTAGAATCAAAGAAGTTAAGAGGTAGAAATCCTTACTCACAGTAGGTCTCATTCTGAGAAGGGATAAGTGGGCATAATTTCCACTGAACCCAGCTAGAGCCCACTTGAAAGCTGCTTTCACTTCAATTGCACAACTGCCCCATCAAGTTTCTAATAGCCCACATTTAGTAGCTAAGCTTGATTTAATGCTGCAGGGAAAAGTAATTACATTTAATGTGAAGCTGCAGCTTCTAAATAAACATACATGTTATCCAGTTTGTCTGAAATACAAATCATAATTGTTTGGGGATATTACTTCAAATACTCTAGTTTTTGGCTAAAATCTAGGGCCTAGATGCTGGGTCACACAGCTGCTTTCTGCTGTGCCGTAGGTGCAAAGTGGCCTTAAGGTAACTGGATTCAGCCTTGGAGGTTCATGCCAGTGTAGAGAACTCAACAGGAGGTGTACACGTGCTCTAACAGCTCCCACACCATGCCCGACTGTGGCTAAATCTTCCCTTTGTCCTGGTGAGCCTCAGCTGCTATACAGGCTTCCTGAGTCTGTTGGAAGCTGGCACAGGGTAGAATAGCCTTTGGGTTGCTCTAATCTGCACCAGCAGATTGGGCTGGTGCAGCCTGTCCACAGAATTAGAGGAACACAAAACTACCTTTGCATCTCCTGCTCCCCCGCTTTTAGCTGTCCCGAATGCTCCCCTGACTCAGCTGCTGATCCAGCCCTTAAGTCTCTCCACAGAGAAATTAGCAACTGTAGCAAAGTTCTCCATCAAAGTAAAAGAGATAAAAGAGGCCTTTTCACTGCACGGAGTTTTGCACATAATGAATTGTAGCATTCCTAGGCTGGTGAAGGAATTGTTTATATATTACCTATGAGATGGGACACGGACAAAGCTTTTATAAATTGCACAATACAACACAGAGAACACTGTGTAACACAGGTTATTAATCTATGGCAGCTCAAGTACATCAGGCATCGAGATAGCATAGTACCTAATAATACAGCACATCTCACACAGCACGATTACCACAATAAATCTAACCTGTAGGCAGTCCTTGGCTTCAGTGGCCCGTCACAGAATTTCTGCTGATTGGGATCACATTTTCCTCCCAGACTTTCCATCTCAGCTCCAAGCTTAATGTCAAAGCTCTTATAGTTGCTGTCAAGGTTTTCAGCACATTTGCTTGCGAAATAGTTTGTCTGATAGACACGTATGGAATTGTTATGTTTGTATTCCATGTAGGAAGGTAACGGGTGCTGCTGATCTGGCTTCAGCTCTTCACTGCCTAGGAAAAAAAATGGTAAAAAAAAATTTGCACATCATATGCCACAGCTCTCATGCTATTCGTGCAGTAAATATCTAAGGCCCAGGGCATCAGTAGACATATTTAACACTTGACAAACTTCTGTACTTTGTCTGGGAGGTAGCATGGTCCAGTGAACAGAGCATGGGACTGGGAGTTAGCTACCTGGGATCTATTT